TATCTCTCAGGCAGCTATCCAAACTCTCTTCTCCTTTCACCAATCAGCCCGGCAGATGTTGTGTCCATCATACACTCTCTAAAAACCAAGGCAGGGAACACCAGTGAAATTCCGTCCATTGTGTACAAGAGAGCCTCCCATGCCCTTGCCCCACCCATAGCACTACTGTTCAACAAATCTATAGAGTGTCACACCTTCCCTGATATCCTCAAAAAAGCAAGAGTAACGCCAGTCCATAAAGGAGGCAATCCGGCGGACATAAACAATTATAGACCAATATCAAATCTACCCATTCTATCAAAAATATTTGAAAAAATTATTTACAAACAGCTCTATTCCTACCTCGTAAAATTCGACATACTCAGCCCCTGCCAGTTTGGCTTCCGGTCCCAAAAGAGCACCAACGATGCAATCATTAGTCTCCTTGACGTTATCTACTCAGCCCTTGACAAAAATGAGTTTCCGATTGGACTCTTCATTGACCTAAGAAAAGCCTTTGATACTGTTAATCACAACTACCTCTTACTTAAACTCCAGCATTATGGAATCCGAGGCCTTGCCCTTGACTACATCCGATCCTATCTTAGTGACAGACACCAATATGTAACCATCAATGATACAACTTCGTCCACTCTACCAATTACCGTTGGAGTGCCACAGGGCAGCATCTTAGGACCTCTTCTATTTCTTATATATATAAACGATCTGCCTAATGTCTCTAATATTCTCAAACCTATACTGTTTGCTGACGATACTACTCTTATCTATTCAAACCTCAACCCACATACACTAAATAATGTTGTGAATAATGAATTAAAAAAAGTCCACTTATGGATGTCAACGAACAAACTAACATTAAACATCGAAAAGACTTACTACATCTTATTTGGAAGCAAATCATCAAATGCAATTCAGCTACAGATAGACAACATTAACATCAGTAATAAAGATGATGGCAAGTTTCTTGGCCTATTCCTAGACAAGAGACTCAACTTCAGCACCCACATTCAACACATAACTAAGAAAGTCTCTAAGACAGTTGGTATACTCTCCAAAATCAGATATACCAGGAACGTTTCGGCTTTGGCCGAACATCGTCAGAGCCTGAAGCGGACCCAGAAATATGGGTACCACTAGCCAGACGAACCGACGCCCGACGCAGAACGGCAGTAGCCTCTACCTCAGGGGGAACCAGGCCACACACAGCAGAAGGCTCCGCCGCCACCCCAGCACCCAGCACAGCCGGGACCCGAGGCGTGGACACAGGGCCAGGTGCAGCAGTCGAAGACGAGGGAGAAGACGACGACGCCTCACAGTGAAGACCAGGAAGGCCCACGGGAGCAGCAGGGACAGCGACAGGAGCAGGGAGATTATCCAACGGCACAGCAAGACCCGGAGGAGGGACAGCAACAACCGGAGGCATGTCGGGTGACGCAAAGGGAGCCGCAGCAGCTAATGGGACGGCCACCTCCTCATCCCCGGAGTCCTCCTCCAGAGGGAGCAGCAGGAAATCCTCTTTCCGGAATAAGTTGACAGTAGCAGCTGGGGCCTCAGAGCACCCGGCAGCCTGATGCCCCAACACGCCACACCGGAAACATGTACAGGGCTGCCGGGCATAATACACCTGGACATAGTAACCCATCAGCTGGACAGAAGACGGTATATCCGACCGCAGGCGCATACCCAGGGTACGAATGTTCGACCGCTTTCCAGCATACCTCCCCGAGGAGTGCGTGTTCACCTGCACGCTGACAACAGTACCATACCTCCCAAAGTAACGCCGGGGAAGGTCTTCAGGGAACTCCAGGGGCGCCCCATGGACACTGATATAAGTCAGGGCACCACTACGATCCAAAATCGCCACAGAGCCGGCATCACCCGGCAACAGCAACGTACGCCCCTCGTTCCGACGGAGGAAGTCTCGGTACTCCTCCTCCCTCACGAACTTGAGAACAACCCGGTGAGCTGTAACAAGCTCAACACTGTAGATAGCCTCCACCGGGATACGAAGCATGTCACACATAACCATCTCGATGTCCGGATATCCAGCTTTACTAGTGAACTCCAGGTCCACGAAGTTCACATGCACAACAGGGGGAAGAGGGCCCCCCCATGTCAGAACCGCCACGTCAACACGCAGCCAGCCAGCAACAAACTGGGAGGGCAGAGCCGCTCAGTCCACCTGGCAATAAAATGGCAAACAACCCCAACAACCAGGGAGGGTCGACAAGACGTCCTCACTCCATGGCATCCAGGGCCGGACTCCTAGTAAGGGAGTATGGAGTATAATGGAGAGTAGGGACTAAGGAGTGCGGGAGTATGATGGCTACTATGCTGTTTGGACATCATATCAGCTTAGTTGGACAGTTATGGTGAATAAAACATGTAGATACTTATATACAACATGTGTATATAGTGTAATAAAAGCACAAACAGTGTGGGAAGAAGAATGTTGGTGAATAAGGTGTTGAAGGAGGAAGGGGAGGTACTGTCTGCTGGCTGGGAGTGGCAGCCCGCTCTTGTTGTTTGGACTTACCATGCCAGCTTAGTGGTTCACTATGGTGAACAAAATTTACAGATACCTATATATATGTAACGTGTGTGTGTGTGTATAGTGCAACAACAGCAAAATTATTTGTTTATTGGTTTACTAGCTCTACCCAGCCACAACAACCTTACTCTGTCCCCCAATACTCCCCACCACTCCCCCCTCCCCCGTCCCCTCATCCTCCCTGCCATTCCCCACTCCCCCGTCCCCTCGTCCTCACAACCATCCATCACTCCCGTCCCCTCGTCCTCACAACCATTCCCCACTCCCCCGTCCCCTCGTCCTCACAACCATCCATCACTCCCGTCCCCTCATCCTCCCAACCATCCATCACTCCCGTCCCCTCGTCCTCACATCCATTCCCCACTCCCCCTTCTCCTCGTCCACCCCACCATTCCTTCCTTCCCCTACCCCTTGTCATCCCCAACTCCCCTGTCCCCTCATCCTCCCTACCCTTCCCCCCTTCACTGTCCCCTCTTCCTCACCACCATCCCCCACTCCCCTGTACCCTTGTCCTCCCCACCATTCTCCATTCCCCCGTCCCTCGTTCCCACCATCCCCAATTCTCCCCCATCCTTTCATTCTCCCTCCATTACCCCCTCCCATATCCCATCGTCCTCCCCATCATCGCCCACTCCCGTCCCCTCATCCTCCCCACTCCCTCGTCCGATGCATTCACAAATGATCTTATGTTCCCATCAGAAAATTGGGAACATCAAATGATCTGATGTTTCCCTCACTGAAAAATAAGAAGAACAGTTAAAAAAAACAAATGAAAAATTAAAAAAATAAACTATACTCATGAAATGAACGGTATGGTAAACAACACAGCTCAATTCCAGCGCAATGTCACACAAAATAATTATATCAAAATTAAAATAAATCAAAATCTATGAAAATTAAATTTATCAATGCAATCGGAAACATTGAAATGGAATCGTAATACATTTAGTATAGTGTGTGTTGCTCTTACGTGCAACAGATGGCGCTGATTTTCAGAAAAAGCATGTTTTTACCTGTCACAGATGTGGCATCTATATAGTAGGAATATAAAAACATGAGCGTTTTTGAATGGCACTTGAGTCAAAATTTCAAAGCAATCGGTGAAGAACTTTCAGAGATTACAGCATGTGTTGCTCTTACATCCAACAGCTGTTTATAAAAAACATGTTTTTTTCCTGTCACAGGTGAGGCATGTATATATTAGGTATATTAAAACACACACCTTTTCGAATGCAACGTTCTGCCAAAATTTGAAAGCAATCAGTAAAGAGGTTTCGAAGATTTCCCTCTCATGAAAAACACATGAAAACACAGTTTTTCAAAAAAGCATGTTTTTTCCCCATCAAAGACGTGACATCTATATAGTATGTGTATAAAAATCCGCTCAGATGCAAATGGAATGTCGAGTGAAAATTTCAAAGCAATCAAAGAGCTTTCGGAGATTAGCGATTTTGAAGAAACGAACATTTACATTTTTATTTATATAGGTTAACATAATTGAATCGCTAATATGCACATTATTCTTTTGAGTATAGCGATGATTCACACATTTTATTATATAAATATATCACACTACACACTCTTGAATAATATAACTGCAAAAAAAAGAGAAAAAATAAATCAGAGACATTGAAATAATTCGGTAATATCATCTTTGTGGCAACTCTCTCCTGACAGCAGGGGTGGAAGAGGCCTCAATTTTGCAGGACTTCCTCGCCCTAATGCAGCCAATATATGTCACCTACGATTGTTTTATGATTTTTCCTGTGATCAGGAAACACTAAAATTCTTATAAGAAAACAATGTTTAATTTTTTTCTTGTGCCGGGTGGTGTTGCAGGATATAATCACAAGCGCTGCCCAGGGGTTAAAATTAAGGTTGATATTTTAAAGTTTCTTACTTCAGTGTTAGGTGAGAGGATAATAGAATTTGTTGAGGATATATATAGAAATCGAGAATAGTTACCTGTGCAGCCCGCTCTTCTTTTTGCCACTCCATATATAAAGTGACTGTTTTCCCTAATCAGAAATATCATAGTTCAAATAATTCATCTAACCTATCAAGGCCAATGTATAGTATACAATAATATTATGGTGCTTTAATTTTTACTAATACGTGAGATTTTAAAAAATGGATTGGTGGATTGTGTACAAAATGCAATGTTTTAAGTGAGAGGGTTGGATGGCTTTTGAGATAGTTATCTACGTCGATTTTGGATGCTGGGGATCTTATCTGCAACAGTTGTGTCAACAAATGAGAAGAAACTATTGAATTTGGTAGAAATGTCAATGGCTGTTTGATCGTGGATTTCTGTAACTAGGAAGGAATATTGTTTTATTCGAGTTCTTCTTAGACCCAAATTCACTATTTGCAAATTAATCCATAGGATTACATAACTACATCTCTAAACAGTCTCTACATGATGTAACCACATATTATTGAAGCTTACCTTCAACCACAAGAAAATACCACCCTTTGGAACAGTCCATTCACACAGACCTGAAAAATTTATTTTATATATTAGTCATATTTACATAAATTGCTCTTAATTTATTTATGTATTTAGAAGTTTGTAATTTATTTATTTATTTAGAAATTTGTAATTTATTTATTTATTTAGAAATTTGTAATTTATTTATTGATTTATTTATTTATTCATTTATATACAGTATATTACAAGAAGGTACATTAGGTTTATGAGAGTACATAGCATTGATGTTTTTAAATTCTTGTAAAACCACTAACACGCATAATGTTTCGGGCAAGTCGTTAACATATACAGTAATTTTTAGTAGGTAATCTGTAGCAAAATTTGAAAAATTTTAACAGGTACATTGTAAGAAAAATTGAAGATAATTAATTGGTACGTTATAGTAAAATTTGAAGATTATCAGCTGGTACATTGTAAGATAAGATAATATAAGATATTTATTCAGGTAAATGTTCAAACATTGAAAATGAGTTACAAACATAATGTTGAATTAATAAAAAGACCTAGTTCATACAATGCCTGAAGCCACTAATACACATAGCATTTCGGACCAGGAGGGGAAAAACTTAGACTAAAACTTAATACTAATTGAGATCAAAAGCATAAATGGAAATAAAAAAAAGATAGAATGATCGTAATTACATGATGGAAAGAACAGCAGAAAATGCACCAGAAGAGCAAATGGAATTTTAACTAAATGAACAGAAGATTATAATTTTCTCTAGTTTATACATGGCAGATATCAGCAGTTAAACAAATTGGTCAATTATCAATAATGCTTGAAAATAGCAAGACATTGGATGACATTTAGGAGGTAAGGTAGATTACATGGAGTTTATTAGGTAGTACTTAGTTTTTCTCTTAAACTGGTTGAGAGAGGTACAGTATGGCATGATTGGGAAGCTCATTCCCCATTCTGGGTCTCTTGATTTGCAGACCATCTCCAGATTGGTTAAGTCGCACTCTTAGAATATCAAATAGGCATTTGTTTCTAGTTTGGTGCTATAGGTTCTATTTCAACATTATATATATATATATATATATATATATATATATATATATATATATATATATATATATATATATATATATATATATATATATATATATATATATATATATATATATATATATATAATACACTTGAGAAGATGTGTAGTGACTTAATATCTACCATATTCAAAGAATTAAGAAGGGGGGGGGGCCGAGTTCTGTTTGGGGCCAGAGTTTGTTATTGTTCTAATAGCAGAATTGTGATGTGTAATTAGAGGATGTTGATGATTTTGGGTAGTAGAACCCCCAAGCATAGATACCATAATTAAGATAAGGATAGATGAGATTGAAATAGAGCATTACAAGGGCAGGGCGATGTACATAATATCTGATCTTAGAAAGAATGTTGACAGTTTAAGAAATTTATTTTGCTGTATGTTGAATGTGGGCCAGGAAATGAAGCTTCTTATCGATGAGAACACCAAGGAATTTACCATTTACTTTGTTACTAATTTGGACATTGTTAATTCTTAGATTAATTTGATCTGATGATTCATTACCAAACTAAATATAGAAGGTTTTGTCAATGTTAAGGGTGAGTTTGTTAGCAGTTAGGCAAAGATGGACTTTATTAAGTTCAGTATTCACTGTATTATTCAGAGTAAGTGGATTAGAACTGGAGAAAATGAAGGTTGTGTCATCAGGAAACGAAATTGGCTTAGTGTTTTTTGAATAAGGTATAGGTTGGACAGTTTTTTAATTCATTAGAGTGTTCCATAGATTAGGTCCCTTTATTTGCATTGAGTGTTCACACAGATTTAGTTCGACTCTGGAAATATCAAAAAGAAATTTTTTCTGGTGTATTGATTATAGGTTCTACATCTGCCATGGAAGAGTTTCACATCAGGATTTGCATTTAGGTTTTGTACATGAAATGGCACAAGAGAATGTGTGGAGTGAGTTTATATTTAGCTTGTGTTTAGGGATTTAAACAGAGGGGCTGTGAGTTGTCTGAAAACCGAGTTTGTTATTGTTCTGAGAGCAGATTTTTGCTAGGGTGATGATGGGCTTCAGTTAGTTTGCAGAGGTTGAACCCCATGCACAAATACCGTATGTAGGATAGGGATAGATTAGCGCGTAGTATAATTAGAGGAAAGCAGAGTTTGGAACTGATTTTCAGATTTTAGAAAATATACCGACCAATTTTGTAACTTTTTTAGTTATGTATTGTATGTGGGTGCTAAAGTTGAGTCTGTGGAAATTTTCATCATTTTATTGTAGATGTTAACATTGTTTATCTGAAGCTGAACTTCATTTCATGATCTGCTTCCAAATAAAATGTAGTAGGCCTCTTTTATGTTTAGTAAGAACTAGATTTGTTCTAGTAAGTAAGATTTGTTTATGTTTAGTAAGAGTTTGTTGGTTAACATCCATGAGTGGACTTTTTTTAATTCGTTATTTACAACATTATTTAGTGTGTATGGGTTGGGATCTGAATAGATGAACGTAGTAGTGTCAACAAATAGAATTGGTTTAAGAATGTTAGACACATTATGCAGATCATTGATGTACATATAAGAAATTGGAGAGGTATACGAAATAGGAGAGAGGAGAGGAAAGATGCTGCCCTGTGGCGCTCCTACGGTTAATGGTAGAGTGGGGAAGGTTATATCTTTAATGGCTACATATTGGTGTCTGTCACTAAGATATGATCGAATATAGTTCAGGGCAAGGCCTTGGATTCCATAATAGGGAAGTTTAAGTAAGAGGTAGTTATGGTTTACAGTATCAAAGCCCTTTCTTAGGTCAATGAAGAGCCCAATTGGGAACTTATTATTGCCAAGGACTGTGTAGATTATATCAAGCAGACTAATAATTGCATCATTGGTACTCTTTTGGCATCAGAAGCCAAACTGACAGGGACTTAATATGTTGAATTTTACGAGGTAGGAGTAGAGCTGTTTGTAAATAATTTGTTTCAAATATTTTTGATAATATGGGTAGATTTGACATTGGTCTGTAATTGTTTATGCCGGCTGTATCGCCTCCTTTATGAACTGCCGTTATTCGTGCCTCTTTAAGGATATCAGGGAAAGTATGACACTAGAGATTTGTTGAATAGCAGAGCTATGGGTGGTGCAAGGGCATGGGCGGCACTCTTGTATACCACAGATAGTATTTCACTAATGTTCCCAGCTTTGGTTTTTAGTGAGTAAATGATGGACATAACATCTGTCAGGCCGACTGGTAAAAGGAGAAGAGAGTAATCAAACTACCAGTTAAGGGACTGATGTCAGACCCCACTAATCTATATTTGTTTATTTACTTATATACTGTAAAGACAAGAAGGTATATTGGGTTTATGAGAATACATAACATTGGTGTTCTTACATTCTTGCAAAGCCACTAACATCCATAGCATTTCAGGCACGTCTTTAATCTAACAGATATAGTAAGATGAATAGGTATATTGTAGCAAAATTTTAGTTCAACATAATAGTCACAATATCAATTGACGGAGATGATTACACTGGTGAAGTTGCATGTCTTAAGTATTATTGGGGGAAGTGGGTAGTACAAGATACAGTGTGAGTTTGAAGCACAAGATAGGAAACTATGAGGATGAAATAAGGTACTTTTTGGTTTACTTTTGAATAAGGCATAGGTTGACAATTTTTTAATTTATTAGGAATTCATTAGGAAGTGAATGAATATGATGGGTTACGGGGCCTTATGCTAAGAGCTATAGCCTCAGACACAAATATAATGAAATGAAATATAATAAAATTACATTGTAGTATAATAAAAATTAATTGCACTTGTATATACAGTGTCCCAAAAAATGTATACACACTTTAACAGCTGTTAGCTCAATTAATGTTTTTTCGTTTGGATTTAATTTTCAACGAGATGGAACACCCCCCGCTCCACACTACCATCGTGATTGTAGTGTGGAGGTTATCTTATGTAGATCTTATCCCACTTTGATAAGATCTTGCCAAATAGGTGGACTGGACAAAGGGGTTTCGTCGAATAGCCTCTTCATTCACCACACCTCAAACCCTAAACTCTATTTTTCTGAGGGGAGCTATCGGACAATACCCCCTTCAGCTCTGGAGCTATCGGGGAATATGTAATTCATTAGACCAGGGCATTAGTCATAGGAGTTCAGCCTACCGGGGACCACGAGCCAGAACCTGGCCCCCCTCAGAAAGGCACAGGAAGCAATGGCTCTGGAAAACCCCCTTGTGTTTTTTTTTTCATCTGCCATCGACTGGGGTTAGGCACCCAGAAAAGTAGGCATAACTGTGGGAATTTTCCACCAATATTATAGTATAACATGTCTTAGTAATGGTCTATGAAAGCACCTCGGTCCGACATGGCTATTTATAGAACAAGCCACGCTCTCTCAAGACAGTGTCAAGTCAACATATTACGACCATTTCGTGATCTACACGTCAGGAAAGTCTCCATAAATGAATCCATATCAGAATATGTAATTACATCTAACAGCTACAAGCATACCGTGGTAATACCCCAAAATAAATGCATATACTCAATAAATAATGGTTTAACCAAAAACATTTGGTTAACGTTACTACAGATGGATTATTAAAAAGAGCAGGGCAACCTGCTCTCTAAACAATACTCCTCCGCCATGAAGAAACACTCCACGAAGTTCAAGCTGCTTAATTGCCGCCGTTTAACATCTGTGGACCTGATTGGTGTTGTAAACTGCATATACAAAGTGCATAATAAAAAGAGACTATTTAAGTGATAAAAGGGTCTTGCCACTGTGAGAGGAGTGTGTGATCACATCGTTGCCTCAGCATTGTGACACCTTACTCCCTCACAGAGTGGTAGACATTGCTCCTCCACCATGAGGATATTCCAGGAAGTTCAAGCTGCTTAACTGTTTTGAGTGGATGTCTTGCAAGAAACAGTGAGAAGAGTGTGTGGACACACTGACACCACACACCTTCCCACACCTCTTTATAAAAAAATCGGCCACTACACAAGGACCTGGTCGGTGTTGTTAACTGTATATAAATGTGTATGAACATTAAGAAACACTATTTTAATAAATTAAATGTGTCTTAATATAAATTGTCAGTGGAGTGTGAACAAGGCCTGAAGCCAGATGACGATGGAGTCAACACCGCCATTCCAACAACAGTAGTCAACAACACTACAAACTCTGGCCCTACAAGAGCGCTAAAATCTTTGTACTAAAAGACAGAGCTCCATACCTGCATCTTAACAAAATAAGGGAAGATTGGTTGAGTATTAACTAAAGATTGGATCCAATGTCTTTTTGTGCCTCTAGCCCCAATATATTGCAGATGCGGTTATCACCATGAGTTTATGAGCTCACCTCTGTAAGTAAATTACTTTCCACTAAATTAAAACCATATTAACTAGGTCAATCAGTGTTTGACAAATATTTGATATATTGTAATTGCTTAAAGACAAATTAAAGTATAGATTTGTAATAGATAAATTCATATTACATAATCTTGTCATTATTTATAATAATTCATATGTGGCAAGATGCCACATTAAAAGGATAGGGTAAAATAATTTGTGACCCTATCAGTGCTGCTGCATTTATACATATTACTTTTTACCAAGTGCTAAGTGGAGATTTTTCCACTTTCAACCGGTTAATGAGATCAGCCCCATTTCTGTTGAATCACTGAAGACTGAGCCACTTAGGGAACACAGTAGATACAGTACACTACGCCAAGAAGAAAACAACAGTTTCCTAGCGGCTAGTTAGTTCCTTATTTTATGGAGTCACAGTTAAAAAAATCCCACAATAACAAAACAGACCCCACATGATAAGAAAATTGCAAATGAAAATAAAAAAGAGGCAGAACTCCCTCCAATCCCAAGGAAACAAGCAAACTAGTAAACATTCATACTCCCTCACTGCATCCCTCGTCCGCGCCGCCCCCCCCCCCAAACCTCCAAGGAGGGGAAGGTGGGTAGCCCTGGACCCCCCTCCCCTTCGCGCTGGCGACCTAGCCATTCCAGTTCGTCGGCTAATGCAATCCAGGGCAGTCGTCATTTATGGCTTTGATTTCTTCTCAGTGTTTGCCTTAGTGGTGTCCTTTGCTTTTCATGGTGTGATGGCCAGGTGTACCTGAAGTGTATCAGTACTGCATGTGCTTAGGGCGACCTTCCCTACGTGCCCTGTGAGTACTACCCTTGCGTGCTAGGGTTCTCTTCGCTAGTGCATTCGGGGAAACCGTTTCCGTAGGGGTTTTTGCTGCTCGGCATTTACCCTGCCCTTGGGGCCAGTTGGAGTTTCGTGGTCCTTGTTTGACCTTGGGTATGGAATGATATCTTATTGGTTGGGAAGTCAAGGCATTGTGCAGCATGCCTACCTATGCGGCAGCCAGTTTATGTTTCCTCTTGGGGACGTTGTACTTTTGCAAGGTTTATCTTTTGTTTTTGTTTTCCTTGCCTGTTGGAGGTCTGCCTGGTGTAACTATAGTTCTACTTATTATTTCTAGTGGCCCCTCTGCTAGGCCTCCAATGATTGTACACATCACAGGGGTTTCAGTGTTTGATCTTCCCCTTGTTAGCTTCGGATCTTAACTGGTTAGTAACACCTTCTTCAAGCTTCCTGTAGCAGTCATCCTACAGGCCCTGGAAAACCCTGTCTGGGCTGCTTGGACTTATGGATGCATCTTCCGAGTTCCAGCCCGACTAATGCGGGGTTGAAGGTTGCTGTGTGCCTTTACCTCAGGGTGACAGTCACGACTTTTGACTGTCATGCTGACTGTTGGGTCAACGACACATTTAACCCATCTTGTGAGTCGTGTCTCCTCTTGTTTTCCAGTACTATTTTGATGACATTACTGTAAGGGTACAGGCAGCATCTGCGTTGCATGCTAGGTTTAGGATGCTACAACGTGCTAGGTTGGTTCCTACCTGGATGTCCCGTTTTGGTTATAGGGAGCCGGACCTGGGGACATTAGTCGCTTCGACTTTGGTTCAGTCCGTGCTCCCTGGTCCTTCCCCTGTTGTTCAATTTGGAGGTTGAATAAGGTCCTGGGCACTCATTATTTGGTTAACGTTTCTAATTCTGGGTGTTCTTGTGTTGCTTTGGGTCAAAGGCTGCAGCCAATTGTCTCGAATTCGAGTTGAGGAGTGTGTTGCAGCTGCCTTCGGCTCCCAAGTAGGGGAGCTGAAGGGGTTTCCCTCAGAAAAGCAGCATTGAGTGTAATGCACCGCCATTTGCTGGGTGAGCCCCGTAGGCACCCCTGGCAACACCTCCCTCCTTCCGGTTGGCGGTTTTCCCGTTGTTTTGATATTTAGCATCCGAACAGGAATGGCTAGGTCGCCAGTGCAAGGAATCTGGGGCTCTCCCCCCTGTGACACAGCAAAAGAGTGTGACGTTTGCTTTTTTCCTTTGGATTAGAGGGAGTTCTGCCTCTTTGTTCAGTTTTCGGATTGCAAATTTCTTACCATGTGAGGTCTGTTTTGCCATGCCTACCTTTCTGGGTGCCTAACCTCGGTCGATGGCAGATCAGGAAAACCCCCAACCACAGGGAAGATTTCCAGGGCCATTGGTCCCTGTGCCTCTCTGAGGGGGGCCAGGTTCTGGCTCGTGGACTGAACTCCTATGACTAATGCCCTGGTCTAATGAATTGTATATTGCCCGATAGCTCCGGGGAGCCTCCGGGGCTCACCCAGCGTTTCATTAAATTCAACGCTGTTTTTTTAAGGGGATACCTAAAAGATAGCGATAGATACCACTACAAAACCGACAACAGTCATTAAATTGAGAGTATCCATTAAACAAGAATGCATTCAATTACCAAACAAAATGTTTCTTGATGTTTGCGATTCCATTGCTGCACGTTATCAGCCGTGCCTGGACCAGAAGAGACATCAGTTTGAAAACACATGTTGACAAAACAATTAAAAAATGTCTGTAGATTCAATTACATTTTCAGAATAAAATGTATTTTAAAAAACTCCCTAGCTTTATAATTATTTAAAGTGTGTATACATTTTTATGGGACATATTGCCTTAATTTATATTCTGTATAAATTACATATAGCACAGTATAATATAATATGGGAATGGAAGCTGGTGGTTTGTCGAAGCTCCCCTCATTATTCCAGAGGACTAATAATAATGATAATATGATGACAACAACGTTAAATCAATACTGAATAATGGGCATACCTGAAAGGTGCATTTCAGCAGCTTTTATAATGGCATTTCTCTTGTCACAGTAGAATGTGCGGAGATCTGCTATGTGCTTCTTTAAGCCATCTTCTCCCCACTCTTTAAGCAGCTCACTCATCACTACCTACATAGTTTAATATTTAATCACTGGTAAGAAAATTTCAAGTTTAAAATTAAATACAGCTGTAATGACAAAAAACCAGCATTCAATGTAATGTAACGCCATTTTCTGTGTGAGCCCCAGAGGCTCCCTGGAGCTATAGGACTGATATGCACTATACTAGTCTGGGGCTTCAGTTAGTGGAGTTCTGCCTACCGGGGACCAGCACCAGAACCTGGCCACTGCAGGGAGCAATGGCCTAAGGAGATCCCCTTATATTTGGGGTCATTTCTTGTCTGCCATCAACCGGGGTTAGGCACCCTGAAAGGTAGGCATCTCAAAACAAACCCCTACATGGTAGGAAATTAAAAAAAAACAAGACTGAACAAAGAAACAGAACTCTCCAAAGGAAACACGCAATCATCATTGACCGCCATCGCGCCTCTTGTCCGCCCAATCTGGGGAGAACCCCAGACCTACATGCCGAGTACTCACGCCTCAGTTCAGTAGGTGAGCATCATAGAACGAAACTGCTGACCATGCCATAGAGCCTCCGAGGCTCACCCAGAAAATGGCATTTCATTACATTCAACCCTGGTTTTCTGTGGGGAGCCCCTTCGGCTCTCTAGAGCTTCATAATGAAAAATAAGTAAAAAGAGGAACATACTCGGGAGGCGGCCGCACCGTATGGAACAAGTTGAAGATGAAACAACTGGCAGCAACCTGTGACCCAAAGCCACACACAAACAACTGGGACCAGGAACATTTACCAAATAATGGGTGGTCAGGACCCTGTTCGACCTCCAAAACCCCAATGCCCGAATGTTAGCCCACGACACGTTGCCAAACACGGCAGACAAAGAAGCATACTTACAAACGTCATGAGCATGAGGGTAGACCGCAGGCTGGCAAGACTTAATAATCCTAAGGATAACCTGAGAGACCCGAGCCCTGGAACAGGGAATGAGAGAAATCAGATCAACGCAAAGCATGTCCACGGCCACAGAGGCTGAGGCACGCAGGTAACGGCGAAGAGCCGCAACCAGACAGAACACATGATGCACCACCGGCCAGACCAACCAAGCATCAATAACCCACAGACCCCTCCGGAAGCCCGCCATCTCGTTCTTTGCCAGATAAGGAGGAGACGGCTGCAACCAGAAAAAACGTCCACCAGAACTAAAAGAGCAGAACCCTCTGTGCCGTAGGAGAGCATGAAGCTCAACGACCCAACTCCCAGTGGCCAATGCCAAAAGAAATAGAGCTTTCTGGAAACAATCTCGAACTGAAGGGGGGAAACAACCGAGGAAACGAGAAAAGAAAGCACCCTGTCCAATGACCAAGATGGCTCAGGCGGTGCACGAGCAGGGTGGAGCTGAAATATAGCACAAGAAAGCTCATGGAACGCAAGCGGGAGTAGCTCCACTAGTGCCGCATGATATGAGGCAACAGTATTTCCCATAAGATGACAGGCCTGAAAAAGCCAAGAAAGAAAGGACAAGGCAACCCGAACAGAAATAGAAGTCAACCTACGAACAGATAGGGAATGGCAAAAAGACCACCAAGACACCTCACATTGTCGCCGAGACGAAGACTGCAGGTGTGACCACGAGAGAATCCACTTGATCACCATACAAGTGGTGATACATCTGCGTCAAAAGGACCAGGCACGATGAGCGGAGGGGTAGATCGAACCAGCCACATACCAGACTGGCCCGATCTGCTGGAAGAGGCGGAGTTGCGGAAAACGCCCTGGATTCAGACACTGAGCAAGCAGTGCCTGAATCTAAGGCTGGGCTGGCCACCTTAGGGCTACAAGGATCACTCTCCCGCAATAAGACTCCATCTGAGCCAGAACCCGGAGCAACAGCTGGACTGGAGGGAAGAGGCACTGGGAACCCTACCTCGACCAGTACTGCCAAAAACCAAAACCCGAGAAACCAGCCGATGAAAGAGCAAAGTACCGAAGGGAACTCTCGTGGATTAGACAATGAACCACTGAAGCACAGTCCGAAGGAAGCCTGAATGTAGAGCCCTGAAGGACCCCCCCACCCCCACAGTGTAGGCCATGGAGACCATTGCAAACTCCCACACCATGCTGTGAGCCCCGCGGAAGGACGGAGCCCACCACCTTAGGCCAGCATAGTGAGCACAGGTTACAAAATCCCAGCCGAGAGACAAAACACCCGGGGAGGCCCCAAGACACCGAACCCCGAAAACCCTGAAGAGGAAGCCGGCGATGCTTCTCTGAACCCAGCATGAAGCGGGATGTGCCAATACACGTCCTAGAAGACCAGAGACACCATTCAACAACCCGGCACCAAAAGAAGTCGGATCTGGGACAGAGAAGTCATCCAAAAGGAGGGGGCAAGGAATCCAGCAGTGCAGACGGGACAATTCCACAAGAACTGAAGATTTGCACAATCCCATGACAGCACCGGAACAAGCGGGAAACCTACCTTAGGACGAGGTTGTTCTGACCACTTCCTGGCACACCCACTCCAAGATGACTCAATGCGGCACAGGGGGAGAAGCTCACCCTGCCAGCCCCCAACCTCCGACTCTGAGAGGCCGACCAGCAAGCAGGGTGAGCACTGCACAGACCAGGCAAAGTGGACCCAAGAGGAGGCACCGGCACAGAAGCACGCAACAAAGGCCAACCTCTACTAGCAGAAGCTGGAGCCTTGGCACGACCACCAAAATCCATGCCAAGCCCCAAGAAGAAAAGCCGTCAGCAAGCCAGGAAAACCCAGGAAGCCCAGAATGCACCGAAGATGGGAACAAGGACCCCAATGCATAAGAGGCCAGGTCTGGAGAGGCAAATTCCGGGTCTCACAGGAGGAAAACATCAAAGGCCTCCATAACGTCCACAGGGGAAACCTAAAAAGAAGAAAACCTCGGGAACACAACCGAAGAACCCCAAAGGAACTTGAAAATTAACCTTGAAGGAGCCCAACCCACTACATTTGCTGGCGGAAAACGCACCATCAAAGGAAGGGTCAGACACATATCCCTGACCGAACCCCGGAATGGAACGAAAACTGAGGGCCGTAGACGTGAGAGCCTGCGGATAATACAGGGCACAGACACTGGGGCCCAAAACCAGGGCCCAGGTTTTGGGACACAGAAAACATAAGACTGTACAAAAAAACCACACTCAAACGTTACCAGAGGAACTGACTGGGCAGGAAGCCCCTTAAGAAAGAACGAAAAAGAGACGGCAACGAGAGGATAAAAAACTTCCTACAGAGGCGAAAATCACCCCCATAATGCGAGCTCACATGCCCAGCAGTCACTTGTAAACGAACTGCAGTGCCACCCTGCCCAAGGAAAAGCACTCACAGAAAAGCAAAATGCCACCAAAACAAAGGGAGAAGCGTCCAATGAAAAGAAGTGGAAATCACACCAGCAAATGGGGGAAAAACAAAGCAGACAGGAAAGGAGGGACAAAAAAAAAAAATGCCTAGAAGGCACAAGGCCCAAGCAGGGGCAAACAGCCCCATAACTGCGAGCGGGCTCCCTCCACAGCCCTGGGAACCCTCAACAGAGGCTCCAGAGCAGAGCCGCCCTTCATGCCCACCACCCTAGAAGAAAGGCAGAGTCCAAGGGAAAGTCAACAAGAAGGGAGCCTGCTGGTAAGGCCCAGAAGCCTCGGCGGGAGGAGCAGGCTCAAAGGCCTCTGTCTCTGCAACGAATGGGGGCAGCCCCCGAAGCCACCCGAGTCTCATCCCCAACTGAACCTCCCCCGACTCTGAAACCCTCAGACGGTAGAGAGCCGGCAACAAAGATGCAAAGGAGCAGAGGATCCAAAACAGCAGGGGAAGGACCCATGGGAGCAGACTGAACCAAAGCAGAAGTGACCAACGCCCCCAGGTCCGACCCAATCAAAGCAGGGCAGCCCGGGGCATTCGAACGTGCAACCAACCTAGTGCATTGCAACAACCAAAACCGACAATGCAATGCAGACGCCGCCTGACCCCCAAAGAAATTCCGAAGAACAAGTAAATTGGAGTACGAGCTGGGAACACGTCTTTCAAGACGTGTTCCCAGGCAGCATGATGGAGGCAAAACAGGTGACCATCATCCTGAAACAGGGACAACGAACAACCTACAAACTCGCACAAGGCGAGATGTGACTTGGGAAACGCATACATGGGTCCGCCAAGCCCCAACGGAGTTTTCCAGGACACGTAGGAGATTCAGCCTACGGGAAGCCCAGGCAACGATGCTGCAAAGCCAGTTGAGCCCTTGTGTGAGAATGACAACAAGAGGGGATAGGGCTATAACTGGACCCCCTGAGAAATGTACAAGCACGGGTGCCTAGAGGAGGGCCACCAAAAATAACTTAAGTGGACTAATAGTCAAACCAAAGCAGATCCCCTCCAAGCAATAAACAAAAAGAAAAGAATAACCCCCTCTAAAGCACAACCACAACAGGAGGAACAGGTAACACTGCCACCGCGTTGGCAGGCAGGCTGTGCAGCACCTCGTGCCCCAAACCAGCAACAACAACACTTCCTACCCAAGGCCAACCAAAAGCCACGAAACCCAAACTGGCCCCAAGGACAAGGCAACTGCCGAGCAACAGGAACCCCTACTGAAGTGAAGCGTGAAATCCCTAGGGAAGGGAACCCCTAGAATCCTCGGGAAGGGAACCCTAAAACCCAAGGATAGTACTTACAGGACATGTAGAGAAGGCAGCCCTAAGCATATGCAGCCCCAGTACACAAAACTTTCTCCTGACCATTGCGCCACAAACAGCCAGAAACACCACAAGGGCACAAAATCCAGAAGAAATCTGAGACCAGAGTAGACAACTGCCCCAGAGCATCTCAGCCTACGAGCTGAGGCGTGAGTAGCCAGCACATAGGTCCGGGGCTCCCCCTGTCCCCTCCCAGGGAGGGGAGGGCTGCACCGACGAGCAGTGCGGTGGTGGTGAATGACAATTGCTTGATTGCTTGTTTCCTTTGTTTTCTTTTGGAGAGTTCTGTTTCTCTGTTTGGTCTTGGGTTTTTGCAATTTCCTACCATGTGTGGTTTAATTTGAGATGCCTACCTATCTGGGTGCCTATCCTCCGTCAATGACAGACTAGGAATACCGCCAAATACAAGGGGGGCCTTCTTACACCATTGTTCCCTGCGGCCCTCTGAAAGGGCCAGATTCTGGCACTGGTCTCTGGTAAGCAGAACTCCATTCTTGAGGTTATCTTTAAATAATTTCGGAGCTTAGCGTCCCCGCGGCCCGGTCCTCGACCGGGCCGCGGGGACGGGCCTCCTTTTTGTTACACTTTCCCAGGAAGCAGCCCACAGCAGCTGTCTTACTCCCAGGTCCCTATTTACTGCTAGGTAACAGGGACATCGAGGTGAAAGAAACTCTGCCCATTTGTTTCCACCTCCATCAGGGACTGAACACAGAACTAGGACTACGAATCCGAAATGCTGTCCACTCCGCTGTCAGGCCCATTGACTGAAGCCCCAGACTAATGTAGCGCACATCAGTCCTATAGCTCCAGGGAGTTGAAGGAGCTCCCCATGGAAAATAGCATTAAATTTAATGACACTCCTCTTTCTAATGGCTTGGTGACCCACTCAGTTCAATCTATTCCAGGCCCTTGAGAGTAAAGGGCCTGGAATACTGGAAAGAACCAGGTGGAAGCCTAGTCCTCGACCAGGCCTCCACCCCCAGGAAGCAGCCTGTGACAGCTGCCTAACACCCAGGTACCTATTTTACTGCTAGGTAACAGGGGCATAGGGTGAAAGAAACTCTGCCCATTGTTTCTCGCCGACGCCTGGGATCGAACCCAGGACCACAGGATCACAAGTTCAGCTTGCTGTCCGCTCGGCCGACCGGCTCATGGTGAAGACATGTGTGAAATGGAATATTTTACAGCATTTTATGATGAGCCGCTGATGGCATATATTGTACACCAAACGAGCCTTCATGCAGCTCATCTCATTGGAAAAGAGATAACAGAATATTCACGATTGCAGCGTTGGAAAACATAACTGTAGGTTAGATGTATGTATTTTTAGCAATATGTTTAGTTGATGAAGCATTGTGTCAAACACGCTATAACTGATTATTGGAACAAAGAATAGACTATTCCAACACCTTTCTTTGGGAAATATATGTCCTGAGACAGGTTTCAGATACTCCTCAGGTGTCTACATTTTGCAAGTAATGAGAACCGGACAGAGGATGATAGACTTTGGCGAGTCAGACACTATATGAATGAAGTGATTGGAAAGTTCAGAGATTTCTCCATACCAGCACAGAAGCTGGTGATTGACGTATCCCTTATGCTTTTCGAAGGACGTGTTACATCCAAACAGTATATTCCCTCCAAACGCAACAGATTTAGATTGAAATTCTTTGTTTTTTTGTGACTGTGAAACAGGTTACGTGTTACACATGATTCTGTATTCTGCTAGCGATGTTGACATTCCCGGAAACGATCAACATGGTTTCTCAGGTAGTGTGGTGAAGTCACCGATGGCACCATGAATAAACAAGGGCCACATTTTGTATACGGATAAATACTATACAAGTCCCTTGCTAGCTAGGTTCCTGATTGAAAATAGAACTGGATTGGTTGGCACAGTAAAGCCAAGAAGGGAAATGCCAGTGTCTGACAATAAACTTAAAGTTGGTGACAGTGAGCTAAGAAAATGTGATCAAATACTCTCAGTTATGTGGAAAGACAAGAGAGAAGTGAACTTGCTGACAACCGTTCATAATGGTACAATGGTGAACAGTAGCAAGGTGAACCGAGTAACACAAGATCCTGTATATAAGCCAGATTGTGTTCTTGACTATAATACCAACATGCGTTTGGTTGGTAAATCTGACATGATGGTGGGCACTGTTGAGTGTGTGTGCGAAAAACATTGAAGTGGATGAAAAAAGTGTTTTTTCATCTTGTTGACATGAGCATGCTGAACTGCTACGATATATATCTGGTGAAAATTGGACGTAAACCAAGTTTCCGTTCGTTTGCTTTTACACTTGGGACAAAGTTATTAGCAAAGTTTGGCAAAGATGTTCCTGGCATACAGCGACCCATCATGAACCCAGTGTTGCAGCATGCTGCTACACTCAGGCTCGCTCACATGGAGGCCTTTCAAGCACACAGACTAAAACATTTGCCACCATCTGGAAAGCGTGCAATAGGCCAACGTTATTACTTAGTTTGTAAAACAACAAAAAGGAGAGATCAGAAATGTAAACTTGTGCAAACATGGTGTGAAGCGTGTGTAGTCCCTTTGTGTGCTGTTGACTGACTGCAACGACTACCACTCTCTCCAAGACTTCTAAATGTGGAATAATTGTGCAAAAACCTGTAAATAGTGCGTACATGTGTGTAAATATAATAATGAACAGTGTGAATACATATTATATTGGCATAATGGAAAACATTTGTGTGCGCATGTGTATACTCGATGATGCAACATTTATTGCCATTGAACATGATGTAACATTATATGCAACACAATTAGTGAATAGTATTAGTGATAAAATACGCCTAGACACTGTAAATAATGCCGCGAAAATAAATTCATGGCAACTGTGGCTGCTTGAAGACCGCGCGCGACACCTCCGGGACGCACCTTGCACAAGGGAACATGCAGGTTGTGACGTCATCGCTCATATTGTCGGCTGAATTACGTCATCGGTAAGTACAATTAATTTTTTTTTATTTTTCTCGTGGTCAGGGAATACAACTTAACAGATTAGGAAGAATTTTTTTTTTTGTATGAGCCTGTGGGTTACAAAGGCTAATTAGCCCATAGCAACACAACAGTCAATAATAACGGAATTATAAACGGAACATTAAACTTAATAATAGACGGAATAAACAACTATTTTCCATTCATAAACACGGTTTGGCGGGTGCATGGAATCATTTTTGGATCTTTATTTGGAGGACGGGCTGACAAACCATGGAAAATGGAACAGCAAACCCCTAGACTTATGAACCACTTGGTGGTGAAACAATTCTAATGTTCTACCTGCACGGGATGTGCACATTCCTCCCAGAACGACCAACTCAGTCATATAGCCAGGAAAACAGAAAACCGAATTCCCTAACTTGGAGAAGGGAAGGTCCCAAGAATCAAGGATCAACCAGAATGTGGCATTTCATTACATTCAATGCCAGTTTTCTGGGAGGACTCCTCTGGTGGCTTGTTGGTGGTGACGCCACATAAAAAAAAAAAGCAAGAAAGGGTAGTCACCAGCGGCAGAGAACAGGTGCAGAGAATGACCCGCAGGAAGGAGGAATTAGCAACAAGTTAACCGCTCTAAAGCCACACAAACCTGGCTCACAAGAACATTCAATAAACAAACTCTTCTGCTCATTTCACCGGTTTAGATGCCACCAGGTTTTGGCCTCTGGCCCCTGGTGGACCAGAATGGGATTGGATGGAACACAAAGGAGTCACAAAAGAAGAGCTCCCAGAAAATTTTATTTCACTATTTAAAAGCATATTGTGTACTATTGTACTATACTGTATTATATATCGTGGAAAATAATGCAAATTTTCATAAATTATTAGCAAGGCATTCATAGATACTTTTCAATATATATATATATATATATATATATATATATATATATATATATATATATATATATATATATATATATATATATACATAGTTCAAATGGAATTTTTTAATTCATGATTAATAATAATAATTAAATTATATTGATATTTTCCATAAAGTGAAGTATGTCACTTAATAACACAATACCCACTTGAGAGAGCATAGGTCCACAAATCACTCGAGCCTGCATGTGAACGTTGAGCCTCTCCACGAGTGGCGCAGGGCCTGTGACGTAGCCGACCCGCAGTCCTGAGCTGATGATCTTGGAGAAGGAGTCGAAGCGAAGAACTCTACCATCAGTGTCCAAGCTGAGGAAGCTTGGCAAGGGTTGCTATTTGTAAAAAAAAAATGCATAATGAATGCTGTAGATATATATTTTGTTTTAAAATAAGTCATTCTACCAATGCTGTATTATATTAACATTGATTCCTCTTCCATATCAATCCTTTTGTAGATTAACCTAAAACTCTGAACCTTGAAACATAAATCTTATAATATAAAAACAATTTGATACAAAAATCAAATCATTCCTCGCTTAATTTGTGGGAATGTTAAAGCTACTAAACTAATGATTGCAATTTAGCTCATTGACTTATTGGGAGTGCTTTCAGAATTTAATTCTCACCAATTACCATCCTTTAACTATTCTCTACAAATTGCAAAAATACAAATTAGTCATTATCAGGACTTGTTGGAAATTTCCAACACTAATACACTACTATTGTATTATAATAAATCATTATTATTATATACTAACTACAGTAGTCACTAAATTTACTAACAGTAATGTTCACATAAACTAACCATTATATCTGCGTATTAATGCTAGAATTCTTACGAAACCAAGCACCAGTATTGCGTCAGATTATATCTAGTTAAACACATTTATTGCCAATGTGCTAGAGAATTGAATGTGGTTCTCTAAAATCATCAGTATTCCGTGTGATAATTATTTACAGATAACATAACTCCCAAATAATTCTAAATCGAGAGTTTTTAGTTACAATTGTTATCAAGTAATAGTTTTTCTGTCGCGCATGAATGCCATGGAGAAAACTAAAATCTCCATTTCCCGTTTACCACCATAAGACGAGAAAGCGATAATATTTAAATCCCTAGAATCACAACCCAGTCCTTATTAAAGTATTTCAACCACGATTGCGCGAAATAGTATTATTCGTGATAAATAATTTCTGTGGTGAATGCGAGACGCGGGTTGGAGAGGGAAGAGACGCCATTGTTGAGGCTGGTGTTGCGGAGTAAGCAGCCAGCGTGCGTACTTGGACAGAGGAAAGTCGTGGCGTCAGAGTCTGAGACACGTGGCGTTGGGATTATCAGCAAAAATTACACTGATACCCAACTTATAACGAATAATTATTCTTCCACGTGCTCCATAGTGCTCGGTCAAACAATAACGCGTCGAGAATCAAGCCAAACTCTCAATTGTGGATTCCAAACTTCCACGATGTTGTGGATTCCAATCCACAACATCGTGGAAGTTTGAGACTGAGACACGATATCGGCAGACTTCAGCATTTACTGCGCTCATGCTAAGTATATTTTCTTTCTTGATGCATCATTAGAGATTGTATATTTCGTGGGTAGTCTGTCGTTACATAGCGGGACGACAATAAATCCAATGTTAGTACCGCATTAATATTCATTTTCTAATTTCATAAATTTTGAGATTTAAGTAGCCTAGTTCAATGCTACGTAATATCCTTTAAATTACAGCTCGTATGTGAGGAGTCAACGAGTCGTTAACTACATTCGTGTTATTCACCTCTAATGGCTTCTATGTGGAGATCCTGAGATCACGAGGACGAAGCACGAACGATGTCATAGAAATCGTCCTAAAGCTAAGACTTTTTGTACACATTTAATTATTCCAATTTATTATACAAATCCATAATATTATCATATCGAGTACTTACTATATGAATTTGGAGATTGGTGTGTTTACTTAGATGATTGCTCTTTAATTCTAACAATCATTAATATTCTCTATTTGGATTTACCAATTGATTCTATAATATTTTGGTCATAATATTCTTTACTCAACAATGAACTGGTGACGAACCACACTAGTTCCTAGACGTATATGAAGTTCTAGCAATACCCCCCCAATGTAGGTATTTGAGGCTCTGACTTTAGTTAATTAACCATACAGTCCATTATTTATTTAAGTGATTATTCTTTCTAATATTTATCCATAGACACTGGTTCTTCCTTGTGTTTCTAATGATCACTTTTTATTAGTTTCCCTCTTTTCTCAAATGTGGGTGATCCTTCGTTATTAAATTAAATAATTAATAATTGAGTCAAGCCCCAGGTATCCCACAATATGGTCCTTATCGAACCGGATACATACTAATTAGTAATAACTAATCACCGTGTGAAGTAGTTTAGACTAACCACATTTATTAATTGTGTCTACCGGCAGTGTATCTCATAGGTTAGCCTAATTCACACCAATTTATTTGCTACTTATACCTTATGTATAAGGTAGCACTCGTGGGACACAGTCCCACGAGTGCTACCCACAACACTTAGACCTATACCTCATACCGAGGTAAGAATCTTCAGGTCACCAGGAGCAACAGCTCATAACTTCTCTAATAATTCCTCACTAACATCAATTATGTGTTAACCATTTGGGCTATACAAATATTTCAATATACGGCTGTCAGCAGACTGTCCATTATAGCCTAAATTCAATCCATAATTACTGATTCACTCAAGTCAGTGAATTCATTAACATTTTAGGATCCAGTATACTAATACAAATTGTTGATCCCATACTAACTAATCATTACTAACCCTGATAACATTTTATTCCACAATTAGGAAGTACATTCAGGAGTTAAATATTATTTACGGCAGTAGAATACTTGCCAAACACAATTAATTCTCTTGTGTTCATTTAATTTCTTATACACATAATTTCTACCAGGTGTATATATTATATAAAATTACAAAATCCAAAAACATAGCACTATTTTATACATTACTGCACCACATTTATTGTAGTTATTATGCCAACCCAACAGAGGTAAGATATTTCAGACTGACACGGTACTAAGATTTGTACAAATTCAGTCTACACCATTAGCTGCATTATTAGGTAGGATTATTACCTAACTAGTACTGTTAGACAGTGCTGGTGCATTATTATTTTATGTAGTGCTGACCCGAATGGGTGGGATTAACCATTTATTGTGTAATTATATTTAATTATATATTTCTATGTACATCTTTGAGTGTTACTGTAAGTTCACTACCCATCCAAGGCTCATTTTGAAGAACTAAGCTAAGGAACACCTGTAGTGAGACCATGGTACCACTCAAATCTTAGTTGCTTATTATTAGGTAGGTAGCTAACCTCTAAATGAGGTAAATTACAATCAGCCTCAAGAAATATCAGGCTGTCAATAATTATACCTGCTCTACATAAAGGAGCAAGTACCATAGCTGTCCAAGTAGCTATATAAGCCCTATAAGGCTCAAATTTACAGCCAGAATGGGTACTCCTGCACAGTTAAGGAGAACCTGTATTGGCCTGAGAGGTCTTCAAAATCACCTATCAAGACTACTTGACAAATGTGACAACTGTTTAGGAACCAACTCAGTTGACTTCTTCGAGCTAAACATTTCCACAAAGGTGGCTAGCCAAAAATATGTCCAGGTGAAGGATATAATCGAGTCTTATAGGAACATACTCCTTAGCAGTAATACTGACCCAGACGAATTGCGTCTGATAGAAGCTGATCTTGCCGACTATGAAAATACAATTCAAAACAAGTTAGATCAATATAACAAAGTGCTTGCGACACAAAACGTTCCTGAGTGGATAGAACATTTTTGTAGTAGACCTACACCCGAGCAAGCACCCAGATCAGATGAAATACATGAGCTACCTCAAAATGAGGAGAATCCTCTAATCAATACTGATCACTATACAGGATCAACAACTGAAGTTCAACCTTCGATTTCTAACATCTCATCTAATACAACTTCACGTAATAATTTGTTTATAGAGTCTGATCAATTTTCAGACAGCTCTTCTCAATGTCCCCTGGATTCTATAAATTCAATGCATGAGGCTACTGAAGTAACTAGCTCCTCACAGGATCCCAGAGAAACAAGTGAAGCTGCAATAATCAGTGAATCTGAACCAGAAAATGATAAAGCTGCAGCAGCAGCCGAAGCTGTAATTAAAGCTGAGGCTAAGCAAGAAGCCTCGAGCAATACAAGTATTTTTTTTTCTTTTTATTTTTAAAACAGCAAGTACAGCGTATAGTAACCATATAAACAGGAAAGCACAGAATAACAAAGAACACAGAATAACAACAACACAGATAACAAGTAACACTGATCAACACAAAAGTGAAAACAAAGAATAACAGAAAACACATAAGAACACACACACACACACACACAAAAGCAGCACCACCCAGATGGGGCGTGCCAAAAGCGTCAGTAATTACAAAAGTGCACAAGGAGCACAATAAAACCAAGGGTAAATTATAAACAGGAATACACATACAAAGAAACACATACAAAAATAACACAAACGCAAAACACACGCACCATGCGCCACACCACACAACAGCAGACAACACACCACAGAAACGAGAACACAATAACAAACATGTTAATATAACACTGTAAATACAACATAGTAAGCAAATGCAGGAAAATAACAATGGAATACAACAAAGCAATACACAGCACAGTACATAAAATAAAGGAAACAGAACACATTAGCATTACATAGTAAAATAACATAGTAAAAAATAAAGGAATCGGTATAGTACAAACCGACATTGGAACATATAACACAGTAAAATGACACAGATAACAGAACAAAGTGTAAAAAAAGTATAAACACACAAACAAACAACACATGCCACCCATACAGGGCATGCCAACAGGAACCATAATGAAAAGCACATAACACAAGGCAGCAACGCAAAATGACAATGAACACAAGCATACAAAAAACACACAACAATGGAACACATACGAAACAAACACAGCCACCCAGCACACAAACCAGACCCCCACAGACAGAGGACGGCCAGCCACCAAGCAGAAAAAACATCCACACACCGGACACGTCAGGAGAGACAGACATGCCACACAACACCACAACACACCCATACCCACCCACACACAAACAAAACCCTGCCACACAAGGTAACCAAGCAAACGCCAGTACACACAAAACCCCAAAGACAAACAAACACAGACCCCTGAAACCCCCACCCACCAGAGGGAACCGAACCAAAGGAACACGCACAGACACACACACAACCACACCCACAGGAA